CGAAGTTCTGCTAGCACTGAATCCTCTCCCCATATAGCGATCAGATCCAGTACCTCCCGTACGCTCCATGCTGGTGCTCTTTTTCGATTATCGGCCTGCATGGTTACCTGTGCTGATGAGCTCTCTGTGGTCACCTGTGCTGGGCAAACAGGAAATGAAATTCAAATGTTCGCGGGGCTTTTCCTGTCTACCTGGCCAGTGCATCCGAGTTTAGATTGCTGTCCAGAGCGGTCACAATGGTGCACTGTGGGATAGCTCCCGGAGGCCAGTACCATCGAATTGTGGCCACACTAACCCTAATTCGAAATGACAATATCGATTTTGGTGCTACTCCGCTCATTGAGGTGGAGTACAGAAATCGATTTTAAGAGCCCTTTATTTCGAAATAAATGGCTTCATTGTGTGGATGGGTGCAGGGTTAATTCGATTTAATGCTGCCATATCCGAATTAAAGACATAGTGTAGACCAGGCCTAAGTCTGGCTAACATAAAACTCAAACATTAAGGATAATTAGTCTCCTGGGAAGGGAGAGTACAAGTTCATAAGATCTTTTAAAAATGGTTTGAAGTAAGGATGGTAAAATATAAGAACATAAGAACTGCCATTCTGGGTCAGATCAATGGTCCATCTAGCCCAGTATTCTATCTCCCACTGTGGCCAACAGCGTACAGAACATTGCAATTTTTGAGAGTTCCACACATCTTACCCTTCTGGCTTCTGGAAGCCAGAGGTTTAGGGATGCCACTAGCATGGGTTTCAGTAACGTAGCTAGGGTGGGAGCAGGGGGTGCACCTGCTCCCCCGAGCCCAGAATTCCGCGCCGCTCTGTCTTTCGGCGGTCCTGCGTATGCGCCAAAATGCCACCAAAAGACGGAGCGGTGCATGTGCAGGGCTGCCGAAATTATTCTTATTTCGGCAGCCCTGCACATGCGCCACTCCGTCCTTCGGCGGCTCTGCTCCATGATGCCTGGAGTAGCAGCGCTCTGCCCGGCGCTCCAGCTGGGGGAGCCAGATCCTGGCTCGTGGCACTCAGGACAGCACTCCAGCCGGTGGAGAGGTGCCGGGGGGCTCGCGGTGCTCCGGGCGGCGCTCCGGCTGAGGAAGCGGGGCCAGCACTCCGGCTGGGGGGAGCGGGGTTGCAGGCTCCTGTCGTTCTGGCCGGCACTCCGGCCGGGAGAGCATGGCCAGGACTCAGGGCACTCTGCCCGGGACTCCAGCCCTGAGAGCGCGGCCAGGGGTCTCGGCGCCCCGGACAGCGCTCTGGATGGGGAAGTAGGGCCCGCTCTCTTCTCGGGAGAGCGGGCCGCGGGCTCCTGTCGCTCCGGCTGGGGCCGCGGGCTCCCGGCACTCCGGCCAGTGCAGCGGGGCCGTGGGCTCCCAGCACTCATCCGGCACTCCGGCCGTGAGAGCAGGGCTGGGACTCAGGGCGCTCTCCCTGGGACTACAGCCCTGAGAGCGTGGCCGGGGGTCTCGGTGCCCCAGACAGCGCTCCAGATGGGGAAGCAGGGCCGGCGCTCTTCCCAGGGGAGCGGGGCCGCCAAAATAAGAATAATTTTGGCAGCCCTGCGCATGCACCACTCCATCTTTTGGTGGCGTTTCGGTGCATGTGCAGGGCCACCGAAATGCCGCCGAAGGACCGGCGCCTCTTTTCTCCACCGCTCCTCCTCGGCAGCAACCCTGGCTATGCCACTGATGGGGTTACACTGCTGACCAGCTTGGCTAAAGCCTTTGATAGACCTATCCTCCATGAACTTATCCAGTTCTTTTTTAAACTTTGTTATATTTCTGGCTGTCACAACATCCCAGGAGTTCCCCAAGCTGATTGTGCGTTGTGTGAAAAATTACTTCCTCTTGTTTGTATTAAACCTGCTACCAGTTATTTCATCAGATGACACCTGCTTTTTGTTTTGTGGGAAAGGAATAACACTTCTCTATTCACTTTTTCCACACAATTCAAGATTTTATAAATCTCTATCAAACACCCGCCTTAATTGTCAATTTCCTAAGCTAAACTGCCTACTCTTTTTAGTCTTTCCTCACACGGAAGCAATTCCATACCTTTGATCATCTTTGCTGCCTTTCTCTGAATGTTTTCCAGTTCTACTGTATCCTTTTTGAGATGGGGTGACCAGAACTGGATACTGTATTCAAGATGTGGGCACACCATGGATTCATACAGTGGCATTATGACATTTTCGGTCTTATTTTCTATCCCTTTCCTAATAGTTCCTAACCTTCTGTTAGCCTTTTTGACCACAGCTATACATTGGGCTGTAGTTTTCAGAGAACTATTCACGAGACTCCAAGATCTCTTTCTGGGATGGTAAAAGCTAATTTAGACCCTCTCCTTAGATATGTGTATTTGAAATTATTTTTTCCGATGTGCACTACTTTGCATTTATCAATGTTGAATTTCATTTGCTATTTTGTTGCCCAGGCACCCAGTTTAGTGAGATCCCCCTGTACCTCTTTGCATTCAGCTTTGGACTTAATTATGTTGAATAGTTTTGTATCATCTGAACTCTTTGCCACTTCACTGTGCACTCCCTTTTCCAGATCATTAATGAATTAACTTAACAGCACAGGTCCCAGTACAGAACCACGAAGGACCCTGCTGGTTACCTCTCTCCATTGTGAAAACTATTTATTCTAACCCTTTGTTTCCTACCTTTTAACCAGTTACTGATCCAAGAGAGAACCTTCCCTGTTATCCCATAATGACTTAGTTTCCTTAAGAGCCTTTGGTGAGGAACCTTGTCAAAGGCTTACTGAAAATCCAAGTATGCTACATTGACTGGATCACCCTTGTCCACATGCTTGTTGACACCCCCAAAGAATTCTAATGGATTGGTGAGGCACGACTTCCTTTTACAACAAACCGTGTTCATCTACATGTCTGATAATTCTGCTCTTTGCTAGTTTCTAACAATTTGCCCGGTACTGAAATTAGGCTTATTGGCCTGTAATTGCCAGGATTGCCTCAGGAGCTCTTTTTAAAAATCAGCATTACACTACACTGTGGTCCCTTACATAATAACATAGTGCACAGAAAAAACAGCTTGATGAATAAACACAGTTGTCAGGAATAGCTTTGATTACACCAGAGACAAGAAAAAAAATCTAAATGAACTGAAAGCAGGATAAAGGATTTTAACTTGAGCAACCTTTTATAATCAGTTCTATCTAGCAGCACAGCACTTCCTGGACTCCCAAACAACTGTCTGGATCTCCTCAGATAAGCATAAAACATTCTGTCCTAAAAATCTAACAGCCATAATGTCAGATAAAGAAAGGACCTGAAGTCTGGATACACTGAACTGTTGGGAAAGAAATCTTTAACACAACAGGAGAGTGAATGGACGATCTTTGGAAAGAGCAAGAATTTCTAAGGACCAGGACTGCCTTTCCTACAGTGGTGCAACTAATATCATCCTGTCCCTGTTCTGCCTAATTTTCCTCAAGTCCTCCGGGAATTAAAGAAAATGGAGGAAACCACAAAGGGGCTCTTCCACCCGACCGCTATGACAGAGGCTTCATAGAGCTGGCTATACTGGCTCTGAGCAATCCAGGAAAGGTGCAAAGAGTCATCAGCAGATTGGAGGATCTTGCTCTTAGAGTACATTATGTTTAACCATTTCATGGCATATTAGGTCTTTATACGATGTCAAATTAGATTAATTTATGTTCTTGGAAGATGTAGAAAAAAATCAATACAAATTCAGAATGTTTTACTTAGATTAGAGTATTCCTTAAAAGGCTTTTAAGACCACTAGCTGTGAATATCAGAAAAGATGAAATTTTTTTTTAAACCAATGATCCTTTAGTCATAAAAAACTTCAGCTACAAAAAGAACGTAGCACATATTTTACATATATGCTTTCGGAAAGGGGGTGAGGGGGATTGAGAACAAGATTCAGACAAAAAAAATAAACACTAATAACTTAAGCAGAAGGTGATTTTAACATAAAGAAAGTATTTTGTGTACAATATAATGATGGACCTACATTCAATGGGTCAAAATTCATATATACATCCAACTCAAATTTGTCCCAAGAGAGATAGAGAGCTGAACAGCTGAAATGGCTATTGTATTAAAAACCTCTTTGTGGAATTTTGATTATGGACAAACCATAAAAAAATAGGAAAAAGGCAATTTGTTAAAAGGTCTTGTTAGTAATAAAAGTTTATGATACAGCAAATTTTAATACTATAATAAAATAATAATGTATGTAGTGTGCGCTGCAAATTTACACAGCACTTTTTCAACACAGAATAAGGACTCTGCCAGAAAGGACTTATAATTAATATGATTCACCTAATTTCTGTATTTGAAAACATTTATAAATGATATTTATTAATATCACTCTCCAAAAATACCCAAACCAAAGCCCCAGGTCTGCACTGTGATCTGTACAGGAGCACAAGTCTACTTGTATGGATCACCATGCAGAATAAGGGCCCAAGATAGTAAGGAGAACTACCTGGCCCTTTCCCGTGCCGCATCTTCCCGTGCTTTCTCTTTCTCCTGCCGCTGCTGTTCAATCCGAGCTTCTTGTTCTTTCCTTTTCATCAGCAGCTCTTCAACCCGGGCTTGGCGTTCTGCTTCCAAAGCTCTTTTACGCTCCTAATGATAGAAAAGTTATTTTCAGCTACTCACTTTTATTTACAAATTAACAACGGTATGAAATCATACTTTACCATCATTGAAGGCTCTAAGGACAAGATATGCACTGGACAGAAGCCTTGACGCCTGCACACAAAGATGCTCACAAATGCTACACACACATAAGCACCTAAATAATAATTTGAATGTGCAATTGTATGCACTCCTATAGGCAGTAAATGGGTATATATTTTTGTTTGCACATGAAAGACTCTATTCACTCAATAACTGACTCAAACAAGACTGACCAAGTAACAGTAACATTTGGGTATATTCTACACTTCTTAGAGGTTGAAGACTGTATGCTATAAAAACAAAATACCCTCTCAAAGAACTCCAAAATCTTTGAGCATGATCCTAGAAGCATTTTGCCTGGTAACTTAAGTACTGGATATGCAATCTTTACATCTATTAAGAGCAAACAACTTATCTATGGTTTTGATTTTACACTAATAAAAGTCAGGAAATTCAAAGTCATAATGACAACAGAAGCCATAACTCAGCCCCCTTTTCACATTTATAATATTTTGTGTTACTACTTATGGTGTTAGTTTTAATGTCTTAATATACATGTGCAATGTGGCTGGGTTATGGTTACTGTGGGAACCATAAATGATTATTCTAACTTGTATGTGTATAAAATTTCAATAACATTGCATGAATGCATTTAATTTTCTTCTTTTAAAAAAGGTAAACAAGAAAAGTAACCACATGCTTGACTGTGATTGTACAATTAAATAAATGCACAAAAGTGCGAACTGCCATATGAAATATACAAAGTGCATCATGGGGCACTGCAGAAAAGACTGCAAGAATGCTGGACCTCCCCAACACAACTCTATAAGGGTATGTCTATGCTGCAATGTAAGCCTGGGCTCAGACTTAGCTTGGAGCCCAAACCCCGCTTCAGCCTACACACAAATCTCTCAGACTTGGATTTAGGATCCTGGGACTATTTGGGGGCTGGAGGGTTCAAGGCCGAGTCAATCTGGGACCCAGGGTTCGAGCCCTATTGCTTTGCAGAGTAGATGTAGCCCCATTGACGCAGGTCCTGGGAGTCCGCCAAAAGTATCCCACAGTCCCATGACCCAACTTCCTTTGTCCTCTCTATTCTGAGAATCTCCAGTTGACTCCAGGGAAACAGTAGCAGCCCTTTTTGGTGTAGTGCAGCAGCTCGGTAAGTTAGTGTTTAACCTTTTCATTGTCCTCTGAACACTGAGCTGCAAACACGCCATCAGACAGCCTTCTGTATTTGCAATGTGCTGTGCACAGAAATAGCACTGTAGGAGGCTGAGGGTTTTAGTCTTTAGTTAGGCAAAGGAATCTGTGGACAGAAAGGAATGGTGGTGGCATGTGGGACTGTAAGACTGCTTGGAGGATTTCCTCTAGCTGGGACTGAGAGGGGCCTAGAGCCCCTGATGAAGGGCCCATCAGGGCAGGACTAGAGAAGTGGCAGGTACTCAAGGGAGCAAAAGCAGGCTGAGTCCACAGAAAAACAGGCTGCAGGCACAAAGGAGTGGCTCATCCCTTGAAGATGAGGAGGAAAGCTAGGGAGGTAATCATTAGGGACAAATGTTCTTCATGGATTTAACCAGTCTAACGGGTCTCTTTCACAGGTGGTGAGCCAAACAATCTTTGGGAACCCAGGGTTTTTTTGAGTGATCAGTCCAAGTTCTATCAAGGCAGATGGGGTAAGTATGTTTTCTGGTTCCTGTGTAGTTACCTTCGCCTCAGCATGACCCTCTAAGCTATCAGAGGTGAAAAAGTGAGAGCTGTTTTTCCATAAAGAGACAGAATCTTACTCACCACTGACACCTATCAACTGCACAGAATTATTAAGTGAGCCCTGAAGGAAGCATGATTAAAGATTCACAGGTGAAAGATACTTGGGGTGATCTGACGGATGTATACGGAAGAAGAGGGAGTTTACATAAGAGAAAAAGTTATGCTTTGGTTTGTAACATAGGAAGCAGTGCCAAATAGCGGATGTATGAGGCTAGAGAAATCTAGCATTCAAAGGGCGTAGTCAAAAATATAGAATTCCAGGAACACACAAACATTTTCTTTGTGTGTTTAAGTAGCCCTATAAAACTGGAATACTTAAGCTAGTATTCATATGGTGACTATTTAACTACAGTTTTTGCATTGAATATCTTTAGGTTTTCATCATAAAGCCTTCAGTATTGCTAAAACCTATTTGCTATTCCATTACAAGAAAACCATTAAATTCTTTAAAAAACTGAAGACATGAAGAGTCCCAACTAACCAGTATTTGTATAAACAGCCCTGTACAGCTTTTAACAATCACATTTTTTCCAGCTTCCTGAAGCATTATAAAGAAGCTATCTGTGGAATCTTGCTTTTTTGTAATTTCGTATAGGAGATAAATCAAAATGTTCATACATTATGTAATCATAATTAAGAGCAAATTTGCTGCTTTTATTGTATTTTTGCAACTATTTTTTTCACTTGAAAAGTTACATTATACCTGAACAGCTTCATCACGTGCTTGCTTTTCTTCCTGCCTCCGTTGGCGTTCTTCCTGTAATTCATTTAGTCTTTGTTCATACTCTTTTAGTTTGGACAACACATCATGACGTTTATTTTGGGCTTCTAAGGTGTTTATAAATGCAATTTCATTTACCTGCAATTAAACCAAAACGTACAAGACATTTGAAGAGTTAAAGGAACATTCTCCATTTAGTGGAGTCTATCCCAGGTACATTTCTAACATTTGCGGATAAGAGGTTTGCAAGCACAGTGTATGTATCCTTTCCCATGTCCCTGGTTTTTCATCAAAGATTCTCATTTTTAGTCTCAATCTGATGCTATCCTTTGTTAAGGATTTGGATATACATGAGAAAAAATAGGCATATTTTAAAATAATTTACCTAGATTATCCTACACATCAAGCACTACTATAAACTAAACCTCTATTTTTTATAAGGCCCTGATTTAGAAAGGTACTAAAGCAGATGCCTACCTTTACTCACGAGTAGCTCCACTGAATTTAATGGGACTGTTCACATATTTAAGTACTTTGCTGAATATCTTTAATCATCTTTTTAAAATTAAATTTACTTTAGACTGTAATACCAACTAACAGTCTCTGGGTTGCAACCAATCTCATATACTAACATAACATTTTAGGTATGGGTTTTTTTTAATAAAAACATAGGTCCCTATCCTTCAAGCATTTACTCGTGTTTCACTTTACACATGTGAGTAGTCCCACTGATTTCAATTTAAATGTTTGTAGGATTGGGTCTCTATAATGCAATCCCTTATCTCACAGCTGCACCAACTAGGATTATTGTTAAAAGTCCACAGACAGAAAGCATTACTTAGGCCCATATCCTGAAACTGGATTTACATGGGCAGACCCTCCTCCCCATCTAGAACATCTAGAAGAAGCCCTAGGCATTTTGTTGGCCAGGGCAGAAAACATTTTCGGTACCCCCATTCCTTCTAAGCAGCTGAGCAAAGAAAGGCTGGTCAATCAGCGGAGCAAATAAATGAAGCGCTGCAGGGATGCAAGGATCCCAGTTGCAAGATCAGGGCCCTAAGTAGTTAAAACAAAGCACTGGGAGTCAAGAGACTTAGGTTCTGTTTCTTTCTCTGTCAGACTTGCAAGTCATTTAACCTATGTGCCTCAATTCTTCTATCTGCAAAATGGGGATAGGAATAGCTATCTCACAACAGCATTATGGAGCTTAATTCACTGCCATTTGTAAAGAATTCAGATATTCTTAGCTCAAAGACATTACAAAAATTATATTTATTCCTACTACAGAGTTGCACACTTCAGTACATAAGTCAGCATAAGAAACGAAGCATGAGGGTTAATATTCTTTATAATTTTTTTTATCTCAGTGTAACTGAGGACAACATATTCAAATAAGTAAAGGATCACATACTTTGTTACTTCTGTAGGCTGAGCCATACACCCAATGAGAACAGCAAGTTAAGCTGCAGTTTATAATATGTGTAGGAAGCAGCAAGGGGTACTAGAGTGATTTCTCTGCTTGAAGCATGAAATGGGCACTCTGTGAGCCTTACTTTCCTGTCACGTCCACCAATAGAAATCAGATTTTTCTGATTTTCACCAAAACTAATAGGGTTCTGCCAATTGACGCCCAGATGATTCCCTGAAATTTTGGAATTAATCAGATGCAGTGTTTGCAAGCAAGTTGAATTGTTTGGTTTCCTCACACAGGATTTGTTTAACAGGGTAGCCCAAGGAGTATAAACAAGCTATCAAGAAATGGGATAAGCTATCAAGAAAAAGTTAAATTTAGGCTTAATATCAGGAAAATCTTCCCAATAATGAAACGTATTGGACTGTGGAAATTTTCTCATGGTAAGTTAGAGAGGCCACATAATTTGAGAAATTTAAAACAAGAATAGATAGTGCACTAGCCCAGGGTCGGCAACCTCTGGCACGTGGCTCGCCAGGGTAAGCACCCTGGTGGGCTGGACCAGTTTGTTTACCTGCCGCCTCCGCAGGTTCAGCCGATCGTGGCTCCCACTGGCTGTGGTTCGCTGCTCTGGGCCAATGGGGGCGGCGGGAAGCCGCAGCCAGCACATCCCTCAGCCCGCGCCGCTTCCCGCAGCCCCCATTGGCCCGGAGCGGCAAACCGGGGCCAGTGGGAGTCACGATTGGCCGAACCTGTGGAGGCGGCAGGTAAACAAACTCGTCCGGCCCGCCAGGGTGCTTACCCTGGCGAGCCGCGTGCCAGAGGTTGCCAACCCCTGCACTAGCCAATACACTCACGTGAGTAAAGTTATGCATGTGCATGAGTGTTTTTAGGATCAGGGCCCATATGATTCATTCAGTCTTTTCCACCTTTTACTTTGAAAATTGTATGTATTTATAGATTTATTAAATTCTGATATTTACCTCACAAAATGGAATGTTTTAAAAGTGGGTATATACATATTTGTAATTAAGGAAAATATATCAAGCTCAATAGTCTTTTTCTTTCATACCTTGTTATGATCTATTTCATAAATACATATTTACTATTTTATTGATCCACAGAAGAACAGTACATAACATTTTAATTCTAAAATTGCCATTGATAAATAACTCATGAAAAATTGATGCATAGGAGCCAATTTTGAAGTGCTTTCAGATATTTTAATTTTTTACATTAAATATATGCAAAAATTTAAGCTTTGTATTCCCAGTGCTATACAATCATTATTTTATTTTAAATTATTTGAAATAAGTGTAATTTTTACCCTCTCTGCATACTCAAAAACTGCTGAAAAGATTTTGGTGAACCTTAATACATATATACACGTAATATTTGCATCACGGTGAATGTTTCAGAAAGGTATATGCAAATGAGAAAAGGCAAACTATTATTTAATCTTAAATAAAATATATTTCAGAAGGAAAGTTATTGAGGAAAAAAATCACAAAAAGTTATTAGCATTGACAAAACACATTAGGAAATACTGAATATAAAAGAGAGTACATTGTCATACACAACCTATTACATTTGTGTGAATCCATAAAAGGATCGTGCAGATGTAAATCTGTGGAACTAATAAGAGGCCAAACAAAAGGTAGATTTTTCTGCTTTGTTTACTGACTGGAATACATTTACAGAATTGATTTTGTAGTTCAGTGAACAGCAAGCAGTGGGAATTTGGAAAACCAATTGGGTAGCAACAGTCATCATGGTCTTTTAACTGTATTACACATCAGCTAGTATTTCTGTAGACCCAATTAACCTTGGGCTTGTCTACACTTACATTTTACAGCGCTCTAACTTGCTGACTCAAGGGTGTGAAAAATCACCCCCCTGAGCGCAGCAAATCTGAGCGCTTTAAAGTGCTAGTGTAGACAGGCTCTGAGCACTGGGAGCCAGGCTCCCAGTGCTCGGAGCTAATCCCCTCATGGAGGTGGATTACCAGGAGCGCTGGGAGAGCTCTCTCCCAGCACTCTCGTGCAACCACACTCACACTTCAAAGCGCTGCCGCAGGAATGCTCCAGTGGCAGCGCTTTGAAGTTTCCAGTGTAGACATATCCCTTGATCTTCAAGAACAAAAGAACCACAAGAGGCAGCAGATTTCACACATTAAACACACGCAACACTTCAAACATCTGCTTAGTTGGGATTATGTTAAGTGTGATTTAGTTAATATGATTACAGAAGTCACGCTGGTTTAATGAAATAATAATGAAGGTAAATGTGTTAGACTGAATTAGATAGTTTAGAATAGAATCTGGACTAAGTGACAGAAACAACCATTAAGTTAAACTGCTAAACCAATTTTGTCATGATTATGATAATTAACAAGGTTGAAAAGGTGTATAAATCACAGAGCTTCACTACATGTAAAACACAGCATTTAGTAGTAAGAGGACATCTTTGTTACAGAAGAAAGGAGCTTTAAAATAAATTCTTCTTCTAAGTTACTTTATTAACAGTTCTTCAATAAACTAAAACAAAAAGCATTTATCAGCAACTACCACCTTAGTTCAAGTCAATAAACCATTGATATATTTTGTCTACCTTCCTAGAATAAATACACTATGCCAAATACTTAGTCCTGCCATGACTGTAGGGAGCTGAACTAGATGACCTCTCAAGGTCCCTTCCGGTCCTATGATTCTATTATAAGGTCTCTGAGCTCTCCAATATTTAACAACATTACTAACGCCTTACTGATTTAAAAAGAAAAAAAAACACTAAAAACACAACCATCAGTGCATTTAATTAATGTAAAAAATTAACATTCTAATCTACATTCTTGTTTCTTCAGCGAGGTACTTCACAGACCCAGGAGGTAAGTACATTTTAAAGTGTGATAAGTCTATATTGGAGGCTCTCAATCATGTTCAGTGCACTAGTCATGAGTCACTACTTTACTTCTGTTTGGGATTCCAGTCATATCTAAATCCAAACCACTGGGAAGGAACAGTGGGTTAGTATGAACATGTGATATATGTTTACAGGACTCCATTTAAAGGGCCAGACTGTCCCTTAGTCCTAGAGTGGGGGTGTAGCATAGGAAGAGCACAATGAGCTTTCCCCACTTTGCACATCCCATGCAAAGCTACAGGGACAATTGGAATTAAAAGGACAGGCTCCTTCTGTGAAGCTTCAGGGGTGCAAATTACCGAAAAAGCCATTATGTGTAGAGGGGAGTGTACTATGCACTATCCAAAGGCTGGCAAGAGCATTACTTGCTCTTTATTCAAATCTCTCCTTAAAACATATTTCTTCCACTAAGCTTAGCAATGATAGTTCACCCATGAAGGGATTTTTTTTAAAGGAAAACTTTCATCATTCTGAAACTGAACCTTATCTGCTTGACTGGTGATCATATGTCTGATACATATTGCCTTCATATATCTGATAGAGAGATCATGTATAGTGCTGAGCACACTCAACAAATAATAAATGTTTTTCTATACAGACATCTTACCTTTGCTTCTTCCTCTTGTGCTTTTTTCACAATTGCTTGTAACTGCACTTCACGTTTAAATTCAGCATGGAGTAATTTTTCCTCCATCATCCTGCGTCTCTGGTCCAGTAATTCTTCTTTCCACTTTCGCACATCTTTCTCCTACACATAGTGAGTTAGTACATTATTAATACAATACAGCAGTTAATGTCTGAATTTTCCCCAGTATTTTCTACTTTGTAACCTTTATCTACACTTGTGACAGTACAAATTAAGCTATCCTGCAAAACCCTGCAGTAATTTCAGTCTAGCTCAAAGAGAACTGAGTCAAAAAATGCTAAAATTAAGTGAGCTCTTTTGATATGTCCCAGTATTTAGAGCGCTTTCTCTGAGTAAAAAGGACTTAGTGTGGGATTTTCTCATAAATCTCACAGCGCTTAATGATTTGGCAATAACTCTTTGTTTAATGATGTCAACACTATTTTACAAGTCCAGTGCAGTATTGTACGCAGTATGACAAAAGCCTTTTGATTCAGGTAATATAACAGACTCAAAAGGAGCCCTCAGACAGGGAGCAGATCAGGCCCTTCTGATGAAGCCAATCCCTAGAAGCACCAGGGACTCCTGCAGTAACAGCTTGGAGCAGCACAGAAAGGAGAGATATCTGCACAGCCACTGGATGCAAGCAATATCAGAAGACTGCTTTTTACAATCTGAACTATAGACATAATTTTCTTACTGATGGCTGGTTGCTCACCCCAATCTCCTCTCATCCCTCTCCTGCACAGTCCTATATCTACCAGTGACCTCTCCATTTTTCCTTCCTTTCCCGTACCCATCTCTCCATCCCCAACAATGTCCCTCTTCCCTTTTATTCTGTATTCACCATTTCATTCCCCTTGCCCTTGTCTGGCTCCCAAAACAAACAGACAGACAGACAGATGAAAATGAACTAACAAGATGCGTGCCCATCATCACTCTGATCAGTGGTTTGTGTGTTTTTATCCCCCTCCCCGGTCTTTTTTCTGTTGCTTCTCTTTTAACACTGGAGGAAGACACATAGCACAATGGGAGCCCAATCTAGAATGAGACTTTGGGTAACATAAATAATAATAATATACAAGCCTCCTAGAAAGTCAGGTCAATTGTGTCATGCACTACGATTCTGCTAACTCAGACCCAGAAGACAAGGTTCATTCTGAAGTTAGCTCTGAACTTAATAGCAGAGTATGTTTTAGGACCATGTGAACAAAATATACTCTTCTAAATTAAAATAAACTGGATCTTTTTAACTATAGAAAGCTTACCCGCTCCATCAGTTTTTGAAGCTTTAGCGTTTTCTCTTCACGTAACTTTTCTCTCAGCTGTTGAGCTTTCATCTGTTTCTCCTCATGTTTCTTTTTAGATTCTGCTATTGTTCTTTTAATATAAACATAATAAAATAAGCCAATGAGACAAAGAACTGAGATTGACAATCCTATAAGCAATTTAGCTGTCCAAATATCTTTAGGAAAGTAAAAAAAGCATTATACTGCTGAAATGTAACTTATTTGATTTAATCTCATTTATAAGTGTTTGATTAACATATTTAATATTATCCCTGTTCTGTTCTTTCAATCTCAGAACATTTTATCATTTGAACTACTGTATAATACAGTACAAATGTAACAAACTTTATAACAATAATAACCAGCTCTTATATAAGTTTTTTTCCCTCCACAAATTACAAAGCACTTTATAAAGAAGACAAGAAATTATTAACATAAAAACTTCTTGCAACAGTTGAATCTATTTCTATTTTGGCTATTCAAGTCAGCTGAAAATTCCAAGACCTTTTGCGAGATGGTGAAGAGAGTTTCTCATGCATATGTATTCCATGGCCTGGTGGACGCGCAGGTTCTTCTTCCACTATATCACCCCATGAATTATTCTGACGCCATGATTCACGAGCTGCACAGAAAGGAAACAATCACTTACATAATTTAAAATATAATGTCCAACAATATCCAAATAACATCATTCTGAACTTCTCAATGATTTGGGAGTCATTTCTATTCCAAATGCGTAACTAAGTATTAAAAGAAAGTCTCTTTCATAAACTGTTATTTTGTGTGTTTAGATGAATACATAAATCTTTACCTTCATAATCTGCCAGGACATCATTCCAGTCCATAGACATGCCACAGAAAGATATACTTCCACTGCCCATGCTAGCCTGAAATTTCATAAAATGATCCATGAAATCAAAACGTACGTCTTTTACACAACCCTATACTAGCAAAAGGGTGGATTTTATAATGCTGTACAAACTTAGACTAAAGCTTAAGGGCAATTAAAAGAGATACCCCTGCAGAAATAGAGTGAATCCTAAGATAAGTCAATTTTTATGTAATTTTTAATTGCAGAATAATGTCTTAATTACAAATGACAGCTCCAGCTGCTACTAAGCATTTTACATCTCTGAAGACTAATAAACTACCATAAAAAGAACAGGAGTACTTGTGGCACCTTAGAGACTAACAAATTTATTAGAGCATAAGCTTTCGTGGACTACAGCCCACTTCTTCGGATGCATATAGAGTGAAACATATATTGAGGAGATATATATACACACATACAGAGAGCATAAACAGGTGGGAGTTGTCTTACTTAACTCTGAGAGCCAATTAAGTAAGAGAAAAAAACTTTTGAAGTGATAATCAAGCTAGTCCAGTACAGACAGTTTGATAAGAAGTGTGAGAATACTTACAAGGGGAGATAGATTCAATGTTTGTAAGGGCTCAACCATTCCCAGTCCTTATTCAATCCTGAGTTGATTGTGTCTAGTTTGCATATCAATTCCAGCTCAGCAGTCTCTCGTTGGAGTCTGTTTTTGAAGTTTTTCTGTTGTAAAATAGCCACCCGCAGGTCTGTCATAGAATGACCAGACAGGTTAAAGTGTTCTCCCACTGGTTTTTGAGTATTTTGATTCCTGACAAAAGGAGAGGCCCCGAGATAGGACAGACTCTTCTGCTGGGCTAAGAGTATAGCTGGAAAGATTAACAATATTGCTGGGTGGGTTAAGGGAACTACTGTTGTGGCTGCTTGTGGCATGTAGCAGTTTAGATAGTTTAGTGTCCTTTTTCCTTTGTAGAGAGGCAAAGTTTGTCTTGTAAATGGCTTGTCTAGTTTTTGTAAAGTCTATCCATGAGGAAGTTTGTGTGGAAGGTTGGTTTTTTATGAGAGTATCCAGTTCTGAGAGCTCATTCTTAATCTTTCCAGCTATACTCTTAGCCCAGCAGAAGAGTCTGTCCTATCTCGGGGCCTCTCCTTTTGTCAGGAATCAAAATACTCAAAAACCAGTGGGAGAACACTTTAACCTGTCTGGTCATTCTATGACAGACCTGCGGGTGGCTTTTTTATAACAGAAAAACTTCAAAAACAGACTCCAACGAGAGACTGCTGAGCTGGAATTGA